ACTCCTTGATCCACCTATGTCACAGTATTGTCAAAGTCACGGGAGTCAGCAGCCATGCGGTGGTATGAACAGAGACATAAGGCGCGGTCGTGGTCAAGTTGGTCCTCGGTCACATAGCCCAAATGATCTTGGGCCTGAACCTTCTCCATGGGGCGCGGAGGAATTGAGGCTGGAATTGGTTCGTGATTGACCTAAAGCTGCTGTGGGTCATCAACCCACACAAAAATGTGATGAATGTCGTATCCAAAGGTTTGTTTCTTACAGATGAGAGTTTCCGAGTTCAAAGTTTCTAATGTTTCTATTGTTTCTAGGTGTTGCCTGTGTGTCCACTGCTGAGTTAGTCCTGCCGCGGGATCTTTCGTTCCAGACTTCATGCTTGATCGCGTGCTTCTTCGCCCCCGAGCCATTCAAAGCTACGACGGAGTGGCGCTTTGGAGATCATTCGTCAACCGTTCCAAGCATTCCAGGCATTCTGAATCATTATGATGCCATATGATTCCCTCAAACATGATTCACCTGTCGAAGTCTTGTTGTTGAGAAATGTTCAGTTGGAGCATGTAACGTTCCATTGTTTCAGCTTCGTCTTTTAATATGGACGACCTTTTTGGGGAATTCTATCATGCAAAATATCCGGCATCACGGAGATTTCAGGACCTACAGAACATCAAATGTCACTCACAGAGGACCAACTCGGCATAGGTCTAGGCGACAGATCAGGTTGAAAATCGTACATACATGCGGCAGGGCTATGCAAGACTGAACCGGTTTGCTACCCCCGGTTCAATATGTTTTTGCTCTACAAATGGTAAACTCTACCCATGAAAGTGCTCTGGAGCTAAGGCAAGAACCATGGAGGTGAGGGACGACGGACTAGTAATCCGTTTGCATCTTTTGATATTTAAAATATTTTAAAATCATCTGATCAAATTCTGCTGCCGCATGGCCGCATCCCTCTGGAATGAGCCTTGAGAGATCCTGCTCCATGATTTCAATGTGCAGTGGATGGGTGACATGATCTGGGTCCTTCTGACAGTGGGGTTCGACACAGTCATCCCATGTCATCCCATGTCATCCCAGCCTTTACTTCAGCACTTCGTTCTTCAATTCGCTGTTTCAACCTCTGCTCCTGCAAAGAAATTGCTGCGTGGGCTGCATGTTACGAACCAGCGGGCACAATAGCACTGTGAGTCTTTGTTTGGTCTTCAAAGCGCTGTTTTTTTGCTGCATAGAAACCCTACTGACACTCCTGATCCGGTATCCCTATGACACCTGAGTAGATTCAACACAATGCAACAATGTTAACCCTAGATTAACAAATCTCTGGTTTATCCGGGGGGGCAACTTGAACAATAACTCAATACTATTTTGCCACCCCATTTAATAAATGAACTGGTGGTCAATGGTTTACAATGGTTTTTTGCAGTATCAATCAAGGTTGGCGTTATCCTCCTACCGACAGTGGCTCAATGCACTGAGGAGCACCTTGGCCAAGAGTTTCTGCTCTTGCTGACTCAGCTCCTAGCTATTGCTGAATCCAAGAGAAAGGTCCCGGAGATCACTGTGTTTGGGGTTTCAAATTCCGGGTTGAAAATGGAACAAAAATTGAATAGGTCTTCAGGCCAGTCAAATTTATTCAAACGTCTGGGCTGAATTGTGATTTCCACCTCCAAGTCTTGAAAGTCATGGTGATTTGCATCCTTTATGGTGTCACATTGGTATCTGGTCATCTCAGCGATATCGTCAAGACCCTGAAAAAATGCACGGCCAAACATGTCAGGCATCTTCTGGCTCCTCGTAGGGCCCACGAACCTTTTCCACCTCCGCTTCAAGTTTGGCCAACATCCCTTCCTCAGCAAGAACCGACGCCGTTAGTACACAATTCATCCAGTCTAGCGTCCAGCCAGGGAGTCTGCATCATGAGCATTTAAAGGTTTGGGACTCATGCTCACATGGATATCCCTGCACCGGGGAGGGGATCCTTTGGAGGAAACCCATCCGCATTTTGACGATGCAACGGTCATCAGAACACGCTCCTCCAGCATATCGCCAGACACAACAGTAATTCCATTGAGTGCCCCAACGATGTCCTCACGGGCTGGCTTGATGCTCTCAGAATCAACCATAGTTTTCAAAGGTATCGAATGGCCCTGATTTTAGGCTACAAATTGCCCAGATTGACCTGAACATACCTTTATGTGGAAAAAACAACCATTTAGGGTCTACTTTTAAGGGACATAGGGGGGGACTTGGGAACCAGGGGGGATTAAGGATGCACATGGGGGCATGCAGCAACATGATGCACACAGGCAACATTCCTTCATGTAGAAAAACAACCATGTAGGGTCTAATTTTAAGGGACATAGGGGGGGACTTGGGGACCAGGGGGCATTAAGGAGGCACATGGGGGCATGCAGCAACATGATGCACACAGCCAACATTCCTTCATGTAGAAAAACAACCATTTAGGATTTAATTTTAAGGGACATAGGGGGCGGAATTGGGGACCAGCAGGGGATTAGGGAGGGGCTTGGGGACCGGGGGGATTAGGAAGGGACATGAAGGCATGCAGCAACATAATGCACGCAGGTAACAGGGTCATCGAAAAACAACCATTTGCGGTCTACTTTTAGGAGTAGCTCGAGTCGAAAGGGGCTACCCGGGCACAAGCGAGACAAATCCACGGGCACAAGCGAGGCCAGTTCCCCCTAAAAGCTTTCGAAAGATAGCCACGCCTTGAATTATGCCAGGCGCTTACGAACAAGCAACTCTGGCGTGCTGCTGAATGGCCGCATAGAGAATTAGAGAAACAAGGGGAGCACTTCAGAAAGAGCCAGTAAGCAGCCAGACTCGGCCACCCAAAACCGGGCGACACCGAGGCGACTTTCGACCAATGGACAAAAAATACTTCCACCAGGCTCCACACATATGAAATTAAGATATGTTAAGATAAATTAAGCACAATCGAGTGACCAAGGGTCACCAAGCAGCCAAAGTCGAGCAATATTGGACCCAAGATGAGCAATCCGTCAAGTCAGCCCGACTTACCAGGACCTTTAGGAGTTTCTCGTGGTGTAACAAAATGCAATGGACATTGGGTTTCAATTGTTGGCCCGTCACAATGAATAAGCGAAAAATCCACAAAGCCTTCCTTCCTTGAGCTTCCCAATGTGCACCTCCTCGAAGTTTTGTTTTGGTGTGCGCTTCATTGTCCCATTGTGTTGCCGTGACGGGTGAAAACCCACATTTCTCCAATATTTGGGACAAAATCCCTGTCTTCCACCCAGCCATCGGTCCGGAGGAACTGGGGTCTTCCGCTCGACGGCCTGAGATTCATGCATCACCCTCACGCATCACCCTTGGCAGTGTTAAAGTTTGATCTTAGATATGCTAGATAATCTAGCAACCAACAGCAGACAAGTCTTGAACAACCCCCGGGAACATACAAATATAATCAAACATTTGAGTCTGTGTGCACAATGTCATCACATGGAATATGCGGGTAGATGAAATTGCGGTCTTTATCACTGAGAGAATGCAGCGGCCTATCCAAAGATAGCCTAAAAGAATGAATTTTGAAGCTCGGATTTCGGTAGCATGACATTTTCCGCCAACCGAACTGCACCGGCAAGAGACCCCAAAGAGTGTGGAGGATAGGAAGTCAATGTGCCAGATACAAGCCAAAGTAGCTACGGAAAAGTAACAGATCAGGTTCAGAACTGCAGCAGGAACTTGTTTTGGCGCAAGAAACAATGCTATGTCTACTCAGCAGGACCCCATACCAGAACCCCACCAGGACATCTAAGAAAATTTGGAAAAGTCGTGACAGAAGGACCGTGTATATAGACGATCTCACAAGATCTGCAGACAAGAACTTCATGTGAGTATCAGAGAAGAACTTTCACACAAGCACCAATGCAGAGCATCTGCGAGATCTTAGTGCAAGGACCTCTTGAGGATGGTTTCAACCGTATCTCCACAAGATCTTCTGACAAGGACCTGTACGAGATCATGCAAGGACCTCTTAAAGGATTTTAGCAGGATCTCTACAAGAGCTTCTCATGTGAGAAACTTCGACCAAGATCTTCATGCCAGGACCCCGAAGAGAATCCCACAAGATCTTCAGAAAAGGACCTGCTGCTGCAGCTTACAAGATGATGAGACAATGAACTCCCAAGAGCATCGAGCTGCCATACAAGCACCTCTAATACATGGCATCTGCAAGGTCTTCACACAAGATCTTCTTAGGACCTGTGCAAGATCATGCGAGGACCTTTTAGGGGATGTCAGCCAAACCTTCACAAGATCTTCTCATAAGGACCATCACAAGATCATGCAAGGACCTCGGACAGGATTTCATCAGGATCCTCCAAGGGTGCACCATGAAACTCTTGCAAGATCGTCATAGAAGGGACCAAGACCAGGACAACTGTTTTGTGCGAGCCTGTGCGGTCAAAATGTACATGGACATGTCACAAGAGCAATTTTACGCGAGAATTGTCAGGGGAAAAGCCGGGGCCCAAGATCGTGAAAACCTCGCGGTGCAGACTTTGTGCGAGCCTGCGCAGTCGAAATGCACATGGACAACAGCAAAAATGCCGGGGACCAGAGAGTGTACCCTGATCCAACCTCAGCCTTTACTCTTACCGTAAGAACCCCTCAGTGTGGACACACTTCTGGGGAAAAATGGAGTAGTCGCAGATAGCTGAGGCATATCTCAGCCATCTCTTGGACAAAACCCTGCAACACGTGGCACCGTGGCGCGCCTGGGTTTTGAAGGTTGTCTTCTTCTTGGTCAGTTCCTGCGCCTCGCAAGTGCATAGTTACTAACCTGACCTTCTGTGATGTCAGCACATGACAACCTTCCAACTATATCCATAAATAATAAGTCAAAGGACAAATCAAAATGATGCGTATGGTATGTTTGTGTGTATGTGTGTTTCAATTTATATCATAAAGTGTATGGGCCTTTCACTGGCCACGCAAGGAGAAAACTGCGGCGCATATTGGTGGATGAGCTGTCCAAGAGTCGTCATAAGTCTCATCTTCAACCGAAAGATCCTAAGGACCCACAACATCCCGCAACTATATCCGCCGACCCCGGCAGACGCAAGGGGGAGCGCGCCAGGGAATAAGACATTGCGACTACTACTATACTACTGCAGCTACAGT